TGTTAACTGGGAAGCAGTTTGTTTTCCCCATGCAATGGTTGAACCAATAAGGTAAAAATGAATTGAAAGATTTTGTGATGTATTCTTTTACCTTCTTAGGTAAAATAAATATGAAAAACTGCTAATAGATTGTAGACAGTTTCAATTCAATTATTATTATTATTTTGAGATGGAGTCTCACTCTGTTGACCAGGCTGGAGTGCAATGATATGATCTTTGCTCACTGCAGCTTTCGTCTCCTAGGTTCAAGCAATTGTCCTGCCTCAGCCTCCCTAGTAGCTAGGACTACAGGCACACACCACCACACCCAGGTAATTTTTTTATTTTTAGTGGAGATGGGGTTTCATCATGTTGGTCAGGCTGGCCTCGAACTCCTGACCTCAAATGATTTGCCCAACTCTGCCTCCCAAAGTGCTGGGATTACAGGCGTGACCCACCCTACTTGGCCCCAAATCAATTATTAATGTAAAGACAATTGAACATAGGCATTCTATGGCCTCACTTAGCTTCCTTCAACATTTTAAGAAACATGGTCACCATGTTTGACATATGTTCTTCCCTCCCAAATACTCAGTTAAATTACTCTGTACATCTCTTTATCCCAAACTTTGATTTTCCCCACATTGTTTATTTCTGCTCTCAAAGACTCTTCTATGAAGATTGTTGGAGTCACTCATTAGTTGATGATGTTCAGTGATCTGTAATTGACACCAAAATCTGGAGACTCTTCTCAGTTCAGGCCATTATTATTTTATATTCCAATACTTTGAGGGTTTTGAACTTTTTGCTTTGATAGATTTGTAGAATATGCCAACCTAAACATTCCTTGTTATTATATATTTCTCATTTCACATGTTTCTTGTGGCTTTTCTATCAGTGTGTTACATTCCTAAGGCAATTTTTAGGTCGATATATTCTATAAATTTATCTTTTTCAAGACTACCCCACATCCAGCTTCCATTAGAAATTTTCGCTCAAGTATCTTCTTCAGATTGAAATGGTGTGCATGAAATGACCTATCAAAACCTTTGAAGTGGGACCAGGAGATTATTATTGTTCTTCTCATACTGTGGCATCTGGGGAAGGCTGATCCATGCAAAGAGAGGGCTGGCTGGTGAGACCTATAAACGTTATTCTCATGAGCAATGTCCTTGTGAGTCATGCATGCAACAGGGAGGCAAGCCTGGCTTGGTGGCAGGATGTAAAACTTAGATGTCAAAGCTCAGATTGAGATTCCAGAGCTATGACCACCAGCTGTAAAATTGTGACATTTTTATATCCCCCTACAGTGATAATATTTCTTTCATTGTCCTCAAAAGATTATTGTAAGGATAAACGATGCATATAAGAAAGTTCTCAAACTTGTAAATTTCTAAACAAATTTCAGTTGCTGCAATTACTGTTAATAAAAACTATAAATCATTAAGAATGGATTAAAAATATAAACACCCTCAAAACCTAAGATTCAAGGAAAACACTTGAAAGACTACATTCATTTATTAATTAACAGCTCAATCTATTGCATTTCCCATGATTTTTGTTGGTTAAGTGACATTTTCTTTATGAACAATGTCTCCTAATTCAAAAATAAAAATAAATTCCTTTTAAGAGCTAACAGGCCAGTGTGGTGGCTCACACCTATAATTTCAGCACTTTGGGAGGCCGAGGTGGGCAGATCACCTGAGGTCAGGTGTTCAAGACCAGCCTGGGCAACATGGCAAAACCCCATCTCTACTAAAGATACAAACATTAACTGGGTATGGTGGTGTGTGCCTGTAATCCCAGCTACCCAGGAGGCTGAGGTTCTTGCTTGAACCCAGGAGACTAAGGTGGCAGTGAGCCAAGATCATGCCACTGCACTCCAGCCTGGGAGACAGAGTGAGACTCCATCTCAAAAAATAAAAAATAAAATAATAATAATAATAATAATAATAAAGATCTAACAATTTAAGGTGGAAATAGACATCTATTTTCTCCTGTTAACTTGTTTTATAAAGGTTGCATATTGGCTTATTTTACTAACTTGATTACTCAACTCTTGGAATGGGTCTTATCTTTTTTTTGGAAGAATAGCACAGCATATTTTCCTAGTACAAAACTGTTGTACACTTTGAGAAAAAGATGAAAAAAAAAAACACTCGTCATATTCAGATCTCATCAGTCCCAATGGTGCTTTAATTTATATTTAACTTTCTTCACTGTGAAACTGAAGTTCCAATACGGCATCATATTTAAAAAAGCAGCAACAACATGCCCTAGTTTTTATGGCTTTCAGAAGGAATTATTTGGATTGGCTGCAATAGTATATGAAGAGATAAGTTAATGAAATATTTTTCCTACATTGTGCTACTTAGTATGCTAAACTGTGTACTTCATCATCTTTTAAGGAAAAGCACACAGATTCACAAAAATATTTTTCTCACAACAGAGACATCTAACAAGACAGCTCTGGATAGTTTGATTAACTGAAATAATGGTGGACCTTAGGGTTTTAGCTTTTTCCTACTTCATATTTTAGGTCTGTTATACCTTAGGTGAGCTCTATTCCCCAAGAAAGATGATGCCAAATTAATTCTTCTGTGACTTTTGTCACCGATATAGCTAGGATAGAAATAAATCTATGTGTCTCTACCTTTTATGAGATTCCAGGTAGCTATTTTTTTAAAAAAATAAAACTTATTTTACAAAAACTGCTGAATTTTCTATTTCCTGATAATGATTGTGGACTCTTAGAAATAAATCTTCACACACAGACAAATGAGATTAAACAGACACAGGCACGCACACACACAAAAAATTCATTTACTGTGGTGAATTCAAGAACACTATTTTATTGAATTCTCCCTGATACAAGATATAATAAAATGAGAAATTCCTTCAAAGTAAATGTGTCTTTCCCTTTTTTAGTCAGGCACACCATGCAGTGAATGAACACTGTTCCTTTTCTAAAAGCTTTTAGGATAGGTTGCATTTGCTACCTTGCTCATTCCTGCCAAGAATGCATCACTCACACTTTTTCAGGATGCAAATAACTGATTAGGATAATCTTTGAAAAGTAACCAAAAATTATTTAAAAGACACTATAATCTGGTTAAAATTATTTGATATACAGATGAATTTCACTCAAATATATTTGTTGATGAAATAATAAATGACTTTTTGAAGCTATATAATTTTACTAAGTTTTTTTAAAAACTATCTTCTTAGAGCATGCTAGTAGATAATATAATTAATTACTTTTGGGTTAAGAATGCAATTAACTAATTTCTTCTTTGTTCTCATTTTCTCTGGAATTTATTAAAATATATTTAATAAATGAATTTCTAAAAGTGATGCAAAGCAGATGTAGCCCATAAAATAAAAATAAAATAAATCAAACAGAACCCCTTAGACATCCAATGTGCAAAAAGCTATATCTTAAATAGTAAAAATTTATTGTACTAGTTGATTATCATGATAGAATCAGAGAAAACATTTCACATACTGAAATTAGTGAAATAGATATCAGTGTAATAGCACAAATAGCACAATTTTCTGACGGAAAAATTACGGAAGTAATGAGAGAAAATGAGAAGAATGATTGAAATATCGTCAAGAGCAGTCAGACCAGAATAACTACAAAACCTGGTACTTTCAAGGAGCGTTATGTGATATATTATGTTGTGATTTATTAATGTGTGTTTTCCTCAAAAGTTTTATCATCAAAGAAATTTGGGAAATTCTGCATCTCATATTCTCCTCTGGAGAGTCACAGTGCATTTAAAGTTTCTGAGAAGTCTTGCGTTAATTGGATCTATGCAGCTATTTTTTCATTGTGGTAAAATACACATAACATGAACTTTACCATTTTAAAGTGTACTGTTCAGTGGCATCAAGTACATTTGCAATATTGTGCAACCATCACTACCATCTATCTAGTCCAAGCTATATAGCTTTTTTTTTTTTTTTTTAGATACAGTCTCACTCTGTTGCCCAGGCTGGAGTGCAGTGGAGTGACTTCAGTTCACTATAACCTCCACCTCCCAAACTCAGTCAGTCCTCTTACCTCAGCCTCCCGAGTAGCTGGGACTAAAGGTGCATGCCACTATGCCCAGCTAATTTTTGTATTTTTTGTAGAGATTGGGTTTTGTCATTTTCCCCAGGCTGATCTCAAACTCCTGGCCTCAAGTGATCCTCCCACCTCAGCCTCCCAAGTTTCTGGGATTACAGGCCCAGCTATACAGCTTTTTAATCATTGATGTGACTAGAAATCAGTTCCCTTTGGGAATATCTTTTAATTTTGGTGTGTCTAGAGAATATATTCATTAAAAAGTTGGCCAAATTGAATCTTCTCATTTTAAAAATAAAAATTTAAAATGTGACTGAGAGGTTAGATTTGCTTGAGATCACAAAGTAGTTGGAACACCGCCAGTATCTCATCCAGATTTCTTATTTCCAAGAAGAGTCTTTTTTTTTCCTTGAGATGAAGTTTCACTCTTGTTACCCAGGCTGGAGTGCAATGGCGCGATCTCGGCTCACCACAACCTCCGCCTCCTGGGTTCAAAGCAATTCTCCTGCCTCAGCCTCCTGAGTAGCTGGGATTACAGGCACGCGCCACCATGCCCAGCTAGTTTTTTGTATTTTTAGTAGAGACGGGGTTTCACCATGTTGACCGGGATGGTCTCGATCTCTTGACCTCGTGATCCACCCGCCTCTGCCTCCCAAAGTGCTGGGATTACAGGCTGAGCCACCGCGCCCGGCCGAAAAGTCTTTTCTATTACAAGGTATTTTCACCTTGTCTTAATTTGTATTGTCTTGTCTGATGATCTAGTGATCTATAAGCAATACCTTATAATTTTACCTAGAAGAATTCTGGATTAAAACAAGCATTTCTAATCTTTTAAACAGTATCACTTTAAAAATGTACGTGGTATTTGTGTTTTAACGCTCTCATTGTGATTTTCTTGTGAGAATTTTCATTGTAAGAACTCTCTTTTTAATTCACATACTTCTGTTACTAGGTCTTTTTAAGACTGTGGCTGATAAAACTCCATATCTTACTATGGAAGAAATCACAAGGACCATTCATATTGGACCAAGTAGACTAGGGCATCCTTGCTTTTATCATCAGAAGGATATAAAACTAGAGAACCTCATCATAAAGCAAGGTGAGCAAATCATGCTCAACTCAGTTGAAGAGATCGATGGAGAAATAATGGTGAGCTGTGCAGTGGTAAGGAATCATCAAAATCATTCATTTAATATGCCTTTGTCACAAGAAGGAGAATTCTACGAGTGTGAAGATGAACGTATTTATACTCTAAAGGAGATTGTTGAATGGAAGATTCCCAAGAACAGAACACGAACTGTAAAACTTACAGATTTTTCAAATAAGTGGGACTCAATGAATCCATTTCCTAAAGACTTTTATGGTACCCTGATTCTCAAGCCTGTTTATGAAATTCAAGGTGTGATGAAATGTGAGTATCCACTGAGAATGATGCTCTATAAGTATGAGCATTGTGGGGTTTGGGAATGAAAGGTTTTAGACCCAGAAGAAGGAGATTTGGTCTTTATTTCAACTATTAAGACTCTGAAAGTTAGATTCCTCATCAATCAATAAGCAAACCATATATCAGTTGCAAAGATCAAATTGAATGATGAATATACAGATACGTTGTAAATTGTATGGTGCTATTTACATGTGAGGTGCTGTAACTATCAGGAACAGATAGATCAAAATACTAATTTATTTTTATTCATGCCAGTTAAATATGGCTAGAAAAGAGCTACTTTAAAAAATAGAACACATTTGGTTAGAATGAGGCTTTTTTTTATATGGAGGTAGTCAAGAAAAGAGGTAAATATGCAAAGCTCCCTTAACGCATTCATTCCTTCTATTTTTCTGACGGCCTTTTTATTTTTCCAGCCACCCATTATTGGCTACAAATCTCTCCTAGCCCAGAGCTCCTCTGTCTTAAGGGAAAATGATAGCTAAATTAATTCACACATAGGCAAGTTTTAATATGCAGCCTTCATAGCATTATTTGTGTTTTGAAATAGGAATATCCAGAGAGAGTATTTTTACTGCAAAGTTATTAATACCTTGAGTTTTCAGGATTATGACACATGAGTAGGATGGAGAGTAGAGAGTCCTGAACTTGGAGACCTAGATTCTAATTCTAGATCAATAACTTAATAGGTGGTGGGTTTCAGTGCACCTTTTAAACTCCGTTTATGCAAAGAAAATGATGATACTCTTCTGCCAACCTTTTGAAGTTGTTTTGAGAGAGAAATTAAGGTTTTATTAAGGTACTATTATGCTATGCAGTTGAGGATAAAAAGCAGTATGTAAAAATAATTGTTCAAATGGTCATCCTAAGGTATCTTTTAAAAAATGCATTTTACTCTGCTCCCATTAATACTGTTGGCCACATTCAATTATTTAAAAATCAATATGAATCTTTTGGTAAGTATTAGAATTCTAATCTATCCTAATTCTAATCTATTCTGAATTCTGTCACAAACAACTATTTAACTAGAAATTAATTGATTCATTTTGAACTAAAGGTACAGGTAAGGAATTCCACTTGAATGAATACTAAAAGTATTACAAAAAATTGAGGCCACAGCAAATTTTAGACCCCACATTAATGTTCTGTTAGTCCCTAATTGTGCAATTGAGATGAGTAATTGGATTTCTTTGATTTTTATAAATAATATGTAGGATTTTCTCATTTTAAAATTTGTTACTTTCTAAAACTATTGGCATCTCCTGCCTATTGCATAGTTACAAATGAGGGTAAACCCAGAACCTAAGCACACGGATAAGGTGGTTATAACATTTAATAAATTAAATTAGGAAGCAAGAAGGCTTCTCTGAAGAAATGGCATTTAAAGGAATACTCAGATGATGCTAGGAGGTAACCAGGCCAAGAAGAAGGGGGCAAGATTGGAGAAAACAGGAGCAGTGTGGGGGAAGCAGGTGAGCAAGAGATGGGAACTCTAATATAGCTGATGTGAGGAAAAAAATGGAGAGGGCAGGGGTTGAAACTAATATGACCATATGCAATGGTGAGTGGAATCAATCATGGAGGGTCTTGAAATATATGCTAAGAGGCTAAGTTTGTCATAAGGGCAAATCAGTAAAAGGCTTTAAGAGGGAGAGACAAGAATAGAGGAGAGTAGTGAGGCCAGTTGGGTGCCCGGGTATAGATTTGTACAATAGAGACATCAGTGGGAAAGACAGAAAACATAGTTGGGCTTTATGGGTATTTAAGAATTACAGTGAACAAAATGTGAAGGTCTATTGGAAGGGGAAAGAGGCCAAACTTGTTCCCAGTCTTCAGGCTTGATCTACTGGATAGAAGTGCAGTTTATTGAATGTAACCATCAGAAAATCAGGGGAGGTTAACATATTTGTTTAAGTAGGACTTAACTGTGAATTGATGTTAACCAAGACCCAGAAGAAAGCCCTTGGTTGAAATAATACCCTTTACAAAGTGTTATAGTTTTAGGAGGGAGTCTAATATACTTGGTCAAATGCTGCTGAGATCTTAAGTAAAATAAGATAGGCTAGCATTTTGTCAGTGGATTTAGGTACAGAAGTATCGAAGATAGGTCGATAATTGAATACAAAAAATTTAAGAGTTTACGTAGCATGGCCTGTAAGCTTTCTCCAGCAGCAATAAAGTCCTCCAGTGCATTAATGCTATTCTTAGCCCACAGTACCCACCATGTACAAAGAAAGATTGGGATCTGGCTGCATTGAAACTCTAATGTTCTGGTAGATCAATTCTGAGTTCTCTGGAAGATCTTGATGGGATCTGTTCTACCAATCTCTAGGTGTTCCTTAGACTTGAGAAATAGCATGAGCCTATCTAGAGCTAGGTCTAGTGTTCTTAAACCTAGCTCATTTTGATTCAAACAACAAGGATTTTAGTTTCTAAACTTACCTTGAGGTTTAGGGAAGTCAGCAGGAACAAAATCAAAAGTTAATGTATGCTAAACTTTATAAAACAATTTATTAATGTAAGAAGTGCTCTTTCAGCCCTCCCTTTTTCAGTTTTAGTCCAATTCCCATTCTTTAATGCTATTTAAATTAAATTTCAATTTTAATTATAATTTCATAGGGATTATTTTAAACATTAGTTCCTATTGTACAGCAATTTCAGGACAGATATTGTATGGGACTGGCTTGCATGTGTATTTACTGAAGAATATTCCCTGGAAATAGAGGATGGGTGTCTATCACAAATACCTGATTTAAAAAATTTTTACTGTTGTAGGCATTTTTGCCCCAAGTATGAAATGTAGACCATGTTTTGAATCCATCATGGTTTTGTTTTACATGATTGTTACTTTCTTTTTCTTTTTTTTTTTTTTTTTTTTTTTGAGACGGAGTTTCGCTCTTGTTACCCAGGCTGGAGTGCAATGGCGCGATCTCAGCTCACCGCAACCTCCGCCTCCTGGGTTCAGGCAATTCTCCTGCCTCAGCCTCCTGAGTAGCTGGGATTACAGGCAGGCGCCACCATGCCCAGCTAGTTTTTTGTATTTTTAGTAGAGACGGGGTTTCACCATGTTGACCAGGATGATCTCGATTTCTTGACCTCGTGATCCACCCGCCTCTGCCTCCCAAAGTGCTGGGATTACAGGCTTGAGCCACCGCGCCCGGCCTACATGATTGTTTCTTACACTGAAGATTCAAACTTGCCTTGAAGTCAAGAAACATTACTGAATTGCTTTCTACAGGCCTTGAATGTCAGGCACAGTTCAAATTCTTGGCTAGAGTGCTTCCTTTCCAAAGTGACAAGAAAAAGAGTAGGTCTGAGCAGGGAATAGGAAGTTTTATGGAGATCTTAGGGGAAAGAGCAAGATGAAAAATACTGAGAACTATAGGGAGCCATGAAATATTGATTTGCTGGAAAGAGAACATAACCAATAAATAAGATAAGAGAGAATATAAGAAATTCTGATCCTATTACCAGTTTTTAATTATTAATGTGAAAATTTGAGCTTCATAAAAAATAAAAGTAACAGAAAGTGTTTAAATAAAGTATTTGTGTCTGGAAACTTAGCCAAAACCTCTGTTATAGGCCTGAACCTCCCAACCCTTACCACATATGTAATGATTTAGAAAAAATTATCCCTCTTTGGAAAATAGATAGATATAACAGTGCAAACCTCGAACTACTAGTCTTATATATGTCACTTCATAACGTGTATTGTGCCTTTCTCAGGAAGATAAAATTCAATAGCATAATAAATGGAATACATAATATTTGCAAATGAAGAAAACTGAGTGAGCTATTTAAATTTGCCTTCGAAAAAGAGAGGTCTTGACCATTAAAACTTTTATAATGTATCATGCTTTGACATGTAGATTGACAATTAGTTCTTCCCTAAGTGAAATTTCAGAGTTGTATGACTCCCTTTCTTTTATAAAAAAAACCTTAATGCCTCCCAACTTTTGGGGGTATGATTTTAGCCCAGATATATAAAATATGCAGAGGAATGAAATCACACAAATGAAAAGTGGTATCAGAAAGGTTGTATCTGATATTGTATAATCAGTGATAGATGAATAGCAGAAAAATAACACTTTGGTCTTTAGAATTCTGAGACTTCCTCTTTCTCTCATTTAATTTTTAAAAATAATTTCAATATTTATCAAAGTCCAAACAGTCAAATAGTAAAAAGAATTATAACAACTTTATCAGCAAACCTTTATGCCTTGACACAAGGGCCGAATTTTCCTAATATACTGCTCTTTTTAGGTAATGCCTTTATATATTTTTCCCCTACTTTCTGGTACATTTCTAAATAATAAAGGAGTATTGCTCTTTTCAAGTCATCAACTTTAAAATAGTAACTATTGACTTTCACATAAGACAATGAAGACTTAATTCTCTTATATTCCTACTTCTCCTTCCCTATTCTCTCAGTATATTGTAAGTTATAGCTAAGCATTAATATTTTCATTATTGTAACAATTCACTGCTTAACCAAGTGGTTTATAATGAGTATAATTCCATTTCTGCATAACTGTTTTTCTGTAATGATGACCTTATCATTTTCTTTGCTTGATTTTCTTCAGTCTTATCCTAAGTCTTAAGAACATTCTTCAACAACTCCATAAAAAAAGGCCAGTGAAATTTTCCACAGAGCCCAAACTGTCAGGAAGGCTACCTTTTCTATTAATTTATTTTCCTGAAGGTATTCCTTTGTAACTCTTCATTTTCATGTTCCAGTTGGAATTGCTTATTCATGAGACCAACTGCATAGGTTCTGTATTGGGAATTTCATTTAACAATCATCCTGGTGGTTCCCTGTCACTTGTGTCTGTGTTGACTAGCTATTTCTGAAATCAAATAACTAATTCCCTCTGTCTTGACTTCCTTCAATTTTGATGGAAGCCAGCCTTCACTTGCTTCCTGAAAACGATGCATGGACTAGCAGTTACTTAGAGAGCCTGCATATT